TTTAGATCTAAGTTATTATTCAGAGTTATCTAATAGAGCCAATCACAGTAAAATATATCAAATCGTTTAACTTTTTCAACTTCACGATTTCGCTATCGGCCACAAAATATGACATACAGCATGGAAAACATCCACATAGAGGTATATAGCTGATGTTTTTTTCTGATTTAGATGGCGTTTGGATGGTCATAAAAAGATATTTCAAAAAAATGGAAATTATGTCTGAAAAATAAATAAAAAAAATGAAAGCAGCATGGCGAAATTAATTTTTATATCGCCAATCGAACACTCAAAACCAGTCCGAATTTCACCAGAGAGTTTATTTTTAAATTGGAAAAATAATTTTTCACAAAAATAATTTGCTCTCCTTGAGTGGAAGAAAATTGAAGGCTCTGATTAGAACGCTGGCAGGCATGATTATGTGACGCTCTGGCGGGTGACAACTCTCTCTTTATTATTAACTTCTTGCAGCGTCAGTGCGCGCTGAGCCAAGTTGTCGTCTTCTTCATGAACGACTCATCACACACGTACACACACACCACAACACACACACACACACATATGTACACACACATACTTACGCAAATATATACAAACATATGCAAATACAAACTCACTCCAAGAAACAAACATACAAGAACGCAAAAACACCAAAGCACACATCCAAAGTCAAACACACACACACACGCACACACACACCTGTACGTGCGCACATGTACGCACACGTACACAAGCAAACAAATACAGTCACACACACATCAACTGAACACTAATTGCATGTGGAGATTCATGTGCAAGGAGGTGGACAATTAAGTATATTTCACTGACCATGCAATGAACGAACGAACGAATAAACAAACGAACAAAATAAAAACTGACAAAGATGAACAATCGTGAACATTTTGCTAGACTTTGCAAAGCAAGTAAACAAACGAAGAGTAATTAAATAAGCATTTAATTCCGAACAATGTTTAAATAACGTTTTTCCAAGAAGATCGTAAAAGTGTAACAAAAATCACATAAATAAGAAAATTTATGTCCAAAAAGAGACATGGATACATCATAAAAAGGCGATCATAACGAAGAATGCAAGGTGGAATGGAAAACCATAAAATAAACAAACACGCGATGTGTAACAAGAAAAATGAAACCAACTAGAATGTGAAATCCATCAGCTCAGTGCTCATTGCAAAAATTGTTTCAAAGAAAAAAACACACAGAGCCGTTGAAAATTTTACAAAGTTCACAATTTCACGAAATTCTCCCATTTGTCAGTTTAACGATCACGTGGGCGGACGGAAATTAAATTAAGGACGGTACTCGTACGACGAACTCTATACATTACACACAGACACACACAACAAACAAACACACACACATAATTATATCTTTCAAAATACACACACACGCGTGTTTAAACATGCACATTATATTTACATTCATATTGCATATATCTGTAAAATACAAAAGCAGTGGAACGAACGCATTGAGGTTTAATACGTACATGTTAAAATTTAATTAACGAACGTCTCCATCATCGGTTGGAAGATTGTGAGCGTTCTTCGTTCGCAAATGGAGAAACTTTTTCTCCATTAAAAATCTCCTAACCGATTCACATTTCATATTATTATAACTTCATAACGTTATAAAATTAAATTACTTTTTTTTGGATTGAAGAATGATTTTAATCCTAGTTCTTGAAATGTCGAAAGCCCATTTAAAAATAGAAGTAACTGAAAGTTTCCATAGCATTACAGTTAACAGTATCCAATTTCTGTTTTTCAACAAAGCTACAAACGCATTATAGAATCATTCTAATTAAAATTAATTAAAGTATGTACTACTGCCTTGCATGCTCTAACAATTTCTGCGTCTGTCAGATCCTGATTTTTAAAGAATAAAATAAAAGTTATTCTACGTTCCCATCTCATCTGTACGCACAATTACGATGAAGTTTTGTGAAGAAAAGGTAGTTTGAATATAGTTAGGAGTGATAAGTGTTGGAGTTACGTAACCGAACTTCCTTCAAATGCGTTTCCAACAATCCCTCCTTACTTAATTTCCTATACTTAACAGTTGCGTAATAGTCTATAAACTTACACACACACACACCGCGCACACACACACATATATATATATACACACACACATAAATATATACATGTGTGTGTATACTAACTCCAGTACAAAAAGATTTCCAACGGCGAACAAGGCACTGATTAGGCATGAAAGGTGAATGGAAAGCCAGCACGCCATCCAGCAAATAAGGTGGCATACTAACCAAGTACAACATGTGCGTGGTTTTTATATTCTATAGGCACCTACATATACTGTATACTAGTGGATGAACTATGTTGATATATTACGACAACACATGGGGTGAATAACTCTAACATTTTAATTGGTATAATAATTAGACTAATGAGTTTCTAGTTAAATACTAAAACATCAGAAATAACCAACACACGTATGCGTGGTATTATCGTATTGTAATGAATGTGATGTAATTGTGATAAAACACAAGCAAACATTTAATGCACATGACACAAGACAATATAATCCTTACTCGATGGCAAACCACGAAGATATAACATATGCTGTTAGCTTGGTAATGTAATTTAAAGGCACGAAACGAACTTAAATAAGACCCATCGTAGTGCACATAATAATGTATTTTATACACATTGTAAGGCATTACGACAATGACATTTAAGACAACCATAACGGACCGGATCGCTGTCTCAATGCCACTCATAAATTTACCAAGAAAATAATCAATAACATTTTAACACAAAATAACGGACACAAAAACTCGTATTATGTGATCTTTTATAACATTTTGTTTCTCGTTTCAAAAATTGAACAGTCCTTTCGACACCCAACTAACCACACAAACCCTGTTAAATATTCGATCAATTTTCACACTAAGTTGCAGAGTCTTAAATACACCGTACGTGACTTGCAGCTACACTCTGTAGGCTGCAGTTAAACTCTGTAGGCTGTAAATTTCTGAAGTAAGCTACATATGACTGCGGCCCAACAACAAACACGATGTATATAAACAGCCTGACTAAGAAGAATATTAGTATAAAGATGAACTCGTAAGAAATGTAATAATTTTGAGATGTTCATAAACATTACTGTTCAATAAAAAATAAAACCAAATATAATCTTTTTGAAGACCGGCATACAATTGTCGAGCGGATATGAGCGCCAAAAAAGTGTAGATGGCTGCCGCCATCTAGAACGCGAAAATGCATAGCAACATATGTACTTGGGTTGAAGCTATCTGGTATGAAGTTGTTTAAAAATATCAGAGCATGCAGGCATTATTCGATTTGCTATTAAGTTTTAAACTGAACAATGCCTGCCATGCAGTGATATTTGTAAAAAAAATGCATAGTAACATATGTATATTCAATTTATGTACGTACAAGAAGCACGGCTCATTTAAGTCACATTTCGAATGCTGCATCACGATCAAAACATTCTTCAATCAGGCAACTGAACGAAGGATGTTTCGCGGAAAATATATTCTGAAAAGTCACCATGATGAATAACGATGCGAATGTACAACGGAGGACTGTGGACATGCAATAATTACAAAATAAAACCAGCTTCATACATGCGTCCCACAAACGCTAACAAACATCGGTTGAAACAACTTGGACACAATTGAGACATGGCTGGCCAAGAAAAACTGGCTCAAAATAATACAATATATAATTAATACATTCTGAACATTTTGGAAACAAGCATTCAAGCGTCGAGCGGATATGAACGTAGAATAAATGTAGCAACTACTCCATACTAGCTGCGGAACATACATAAACATACGCATACATACATACATACATAAATGTACGTGTGATATATATATATGTGTGTGTATAAATAAACAATGTATGTGTGTGCGTGCGTCAAATGGATGGAACAATGGAGCAAAAGATGAATTGTGGTGGAGAATAGAAAAGACCTCCAATACACACGCTGCGATGATTAGCTTGTTAAATAAATTGACGCTGTCGTCTTTGACATCTACTTTTAACATCATCATCACCATCATGAAGACTATTATCATCACCCCAACATAATCATTATCATCGACCTCATGTACGGATTAATCATGATCAAAAAACATCATGCTCATCATCATCACCACTATCATCATTATCACCAGTACCACCAACACTTGTTGTATCTGCAACTATCAGACCTAATTATTGAGTTCATCTCACTTGCACCAGCCACCAATAAACATTTTTCAGGCATCAACCAACCACACAAGTCCTCTTCCAACAACGGTACCACACACACACACACACACACACACACACACACACACACACACACACACAGACAGCCATCATATTATTCCCAAATAACAAAATATAAACCATAAAAACAAAAAAAACCCAAAAATTAAAAATAAATAATAAAAACGTTTAAAAGTGCCAAGAGCAAAAAACCAAACAAACTAACAAACATTAACAAACCAAACGGTGAGTGAACAAAAGAGGAAAACAACAGAAAAGCATCAACAACAGAGGCAAAGAGAGGCAAACTACGACAACCAGCCAACATAATAATCCTAACCCACCCACACTGGCTGGGTAAATTTAAGCTAATTTCACTGAAATCACATCACACGTACAATCTTATATAACTGTCCGAACATCACGACGGACACCATTTCAAAATCTAAGAAAAAAAAAATTTTAATTTAATAACACAAAAGTAGTACAATACGAAATATATCAAGGCAAGCCATCGTATAGCCAGCCACAACAAATCACCAACATAGAAATATAAAAATACTGAACATAGAACGCATCAAGCCAATAACAAGATGACGTAAAATTATAAATATCACATAATATTGGTTACTATTATGACATCATTATGAAATTATGACACAATGAGAAGATGATGTCATATGACAGTACGAAAAGTTAACGTCATGACGTTACTATAAATGAATGTCATTGTACAGATCAGAAATGTACTCAAAACTAGTTAGAACTTAAAAGTATGACCTCGACATTTTTCAATTTTCACCCCCTACCTCTAGGACCTAGTCATTTATTTGTTCGAATGTCCATGCCTGATAGATACAAAACGAGATACAGATGGAACTTATACCTTCATCCCACCTTGGCTAGAGCATTACAATCAGGCTTATAAAAGTTCATTTACTACTAAATAAGTAATTATAAAAATAATTGTAACAAAAAAAATTTTGAGAACACGATTAATTACAGAAATCATGGAAAACCAGACAGATAACATTAACAACAAACCGCAAACAAATCACTGATTATTAACCACAATAGCTAAATATTAACATTAGCACTCGTGAAGAACTGCACTGTCAGTCCAACACACTCGAAATAAAGAACAATAAAGAAAGATTGAAGACCTCATTGAAGACGCCATTTCATATCTACATGATGAAACACATAAAGGTTAGGCTTCATTCATGATAGAAGTATTCAACCATTAATTATACCACATAACGTGCGAACTACGTCAGCGGTGTTACGGTCAGTATTTGAGGGCACATAAGACCTGGAGTTAGTAGAAAATTTTAAAAACAAAAACCGAAAATATACATACAAGGGCATTAAACATTAATATTAAATTAACATTAAGGCGAGTCGTCATTAACTGATTAGGTTAATAACGATTGTGTATGGCAAGGACTAAACATCTAATTGTGCCATGTTAACGCTAACTTCGTAATGTAAAGCCATCTGCATTTACATTAGTTGTACATGTGTTTTGTGGATCTAGAAAAGGCTTTTGATCGAGTACCGAGAAAGGTCATTGAATGGGCGTTGAGGAAGAAAGGAGTGAATGAGAGACTTGTTAAAGCTGTGATGCAGCTGTATGAAGGGGCGAAGACAAAGGTGAGGGTCGGAAGGGGGATGTCGGACGCTTTTAGTGTTAAGGTAGAAGTGCCTCAAGGATCAGTGTTATCACCGTTTTTGTTTGCAATTGTGATGGATGTTGTGTGTGGAAATTTATTTGAGGGGTTGTTATTTGAGATTTTGTATGCAGATGATTTAGTCTTGATGGCTGATAGCATGGAAGAATTGCAGTTAAAATTTGACAGATGGAAAAGTGTTGTCGAAAAGAAAAAGTTAAAAGTTAATATTGGTAAGACGAAGGTAATGGTGAGTGAGGAGGGTGGGGAGTGAGTGATAAGTAAAATAGACCCCTGTGGGGTATGTGACAGGAGAGTGAAGGCTAACTCGGTATTGTGTATAGGATGTCAGAAGTGGGTGCATAAGAGGTGTAGTGGTGTGAGGGGGGCACTGAAAAAGGTGGAAGGCACGTTCAAATGTAAGAAATGTGTTCATGGTGTGATTAACAGGACGGACGCAAGGACGGGGTTGAGTGGTGGTATTGAAAGAGTGGAAGCTTTGTTTATTTAGGGGATGAGCTGAACGCGGATAGAAGATGTTTGAGCACTGTTACGGCTAGAGTTCGTGTGGGTGGATGAAATTTAGGAAACTGGGTGGGGTAATGTGTGGAAAGAAATGGTCAGTGAAGATGAAAGGGAGGGTATATAAAGCATGCGTGAAAGCAGCGATGGTATATGGTGGTGAAACTTGGGTTTTGAGGAGAGAGGAGGAAAGTGTACTGCAGAGGGCTGAAAAAGCTATGGTGAGGATGATGTGTGGGGTTAAAGTGAAAGATAGGAGTAGTACAGAGCTGATGTCGATGATGGGACTGAATGAGGACATTGTGACATTGGTAAGGAGATCGAGATTGCGGTGGTATGGACATGTGTTGAGAAGAGATGAAAGGGTCGGGATTAGGCAAGCAATGAAGCAATGCAGTTCGAGGTTGAAGGAGTGATAGGAAGGGGTCGTCCGCGAAAAGGACAGAGTGAAAGCGGGGTTGCGTGATACTGAGGCGAGTGACAGATGAGAATGGCGTCGAGGGGTATTTCGGTTTCATCATAAGTAGCCAAACGGCCCCCGATCTCGGAAAAAATGTCGTCTAAACGTGTGTTGTTGTTGTTGTTATTATCTACATTTACATTACCTGACGTATGCCTTGCCATGGGGCACTTAAATTATAATGGCTGAGGTGCGAAAAACAACTGCACTAAATTAGCATAATTAAATTAACATAGTTAAATTAACATAGTTAAACTAACATAATTAAATTAACTTAATTGAATTACCCAAAAGTAAAAAGTCACTATCTCCTAAGGTATGAATGTTGAAAAATTACATAGAAAATTGATAGAATGACTGTATATGACTTAAGGCATGCATGAAAAATAAGGCACCACACACACGCACACAAAAGTACACACACACAAGTACACACATACACGTAGGCATATTTCCAAGTAACAACTTATTTCGTAGAAATGATCAAACTAAAAAGACAGAAAGGGTAAAACCGAAGGATGATGACGAGATGATGAAAATAAACATCCTCACCAAGAAATGAAAGTATATGAAGAAATTTCAACTGAACAAATGACGAACCATTAGTACGTAAAGATATCTTTAGTGTGTTGATATGACACCCAAATTCATTCATAAGCTAAAAAAACCGTAAGATGTTAAACATACAAAACAAGAGAATATATAGATAAATAAATAGAAATGAGAATAAATAAATAAACAAACAAACAAATAAATAGCTAGATAAACAAATAAACAAAATGAATATTAACTAATACTGTAGCCAAATCTAGAATTGGTAAAAACAAACCAAACAAAATAAAAAACTTACGAAACAAATCATAAACATAAAAAAACTAAATAAAAAGTAAAAACTCAACGAAAATAAAATGATATGAGAAACGAAAAGAAAAAACCATCAACAAAGAAAGAAGGAGCTGTGAGATGGTGATGATCCGTTGGCGAAATGAACGAGGAATAGATGTGGAATGACGTTCAAATCATTAAACAGTGTGGAATCAAATAAGGGATAAAAAAAACAAGCCAACCAATCACGTATCATTAATCAATCAATCAATCAATCAAACCAACTTCTTTGATGTAAGTTAGAAATTTGAAAAATTTTAATTTGAATGAGTGGAGAAGAAACAAATAAAGAAGAGCAAACTAAAAAAAAAAAAATCAATTATAACGCATCATCAAAACAAAAAACACGCCAACAATTAAAAAAAAAAGTAAAAAATAATTTAACCATGAATATATACATATATATCTATGCAGCATATATATATATATATATATTTATATATAAATATGTGTCCATGAATCTAACAAAAAATGCATTGAGAAAATTCTCA